AGGATGATTGTTACTTGTTCACATTCTAAAGCAAGAGCTTAGTTTTTTAGATGTGGAATAAACCTTAGTTCCCCTAATGAGGAATGAAAATGGCTCAGAGTTCTCAACTGGGCTTTCTACTTTATAACATTTCCATCCATCAAATGACTCAACTGAAAATCAGAATCAAGAATGTTTTCTGAAATCCATCCTTTTGGTTTGCACTTTGGAGATGAGTCAATTTTCTCTGGGGTATGTGGAGACGACACATTTTTGTCCGACGTTAAGTCAACTGGTTTCTCTCTTGCTGCCCTTCTGAAACCTCTTCACCGCAGATACTTTTGACTGATTGATTGATTAATAAAATGTGTGTGTTGACTCCGTGTCAGACCCTACAATCAATAGAAGGACTAAAATTTTTGAGCAATTAAAAGTGTTTAAGGGAGTAAATGGTACTGATCCAGAGATAAAAAGGACTGAAATATTTGATTAGATAGTAAATTCTGTGGGGCCTAGCTTATTTTAATCTGATTTAGAATTATTTTGAGATTAGAGTTTAATCCCAAATGGTTTTAATCTAAAAGTTATTTTAAAGACTAGACAAACCTGCTCTAAAGTCTTGAAGCTAAGGCGTCCTCTTCCTTCAGTCTCTGTAAAAGAAAGTGTTACAAAGAAGGTAGGGATGGTGGGAGGAGTTGATCCAAAATGCCAGACTTTCACCAATTACAGGACTGTCTGCGATAGAAAAGCTAATGCTACTGGCACCTGAGTTAAAGCGTGGTCCTGCCTAAACAGTGGAGAATAAACAACTGAAGTTAATTTCCCTTCTTCTACCTGTTGATTGGGGTGTCTGGCAGGTAGCAGACGTCCATTTGTTAGTGCATGTTTTAATGCAGCTGATCAGGGAAAAGTATGTTTCAGACGTGGCGCAAAAGAGAAATCAGTTGGCTTAACATCTGATAAAAATGTATTGTCTCCAAAGTGCAAACCTAGAAGTCTACATGTTCGAAAACTTTCCTGATTCTGGAATTAGATTCCACCTCTGCAGAGATCTGAAGTCACTCCCTAACATTAGGACCCATATTCTTAACAGCATATTCTTAACTCTTATCTTGTATTATTTTGTCTTTTCAGCCTGCAACCTCTTTGTTGTCCTCCTGCCATTAACCAGCATCCCATTAGGTAAGCCTCCCTGTTGCTAGCATCTCTGCCGGAATGGGTCTTCATTCTTCCATTACTTTCAGAGTCAAATTACAGGCCCAGCAGGGTAATAACTGTAGTTAATTGATTTTCCCTATTATCTAACATTTCTGTTGCACTTAATGTATTTTTTTTTTACTTTTCTTCAGTATTCTATTATTTTTTGCCATGCAATTGAGAATTGAAACTATCACAAACATTAAAAAACAGAAATATCTAATTTCTCCATAGCAGATGTGATCTCTTCTTTGATGGGCTGAAGTCTGAGTGAGGATCAGAGAATACTGAGAAGGGAAACTGAACTCAGGAGGGAGAGAGAAGCAGCAAGAGGCAAGAGAAATATGAGACCCATGGTCGGGGAATTGGACTTGGAGCCTTAAATTTGCTGTGTGACAAATTGGACAAGTCCCTTTAGCTCTCTAGGACCTGGTACAATTAAGTGATTTAGATAATTCTAAATATTCCACAATTCTGATATTTGCTTTCACAAAAAGAAAGAGAGACGTACTCAGAGAACAATTTTGTGGGAGGTCACCTCAAAATTTAAAGACCCTTTTTGCATCCAAACTCAATATCCCATTCTCACTGTATTTCCTCAGACTGGGTGGCTGTTCATGATTCTTTCCTCCCTTTCTTTTCTAGCATAAACTTTTAATAAAGATATTTCCTCAGTAACTCTCAATCTACCTTAATATTTTGACCATAGACAGGGGTTACCAAAAAAATGAACACACATTTGCTGTGAGTAAAATTGATCATTTCCCAAAAGTGTACAATCGTGGGTAAAATGGATGTGCATGGCATGTGTAGGAGTACCTGGGCGGTAATGGTAGCTGCAATTCAACTTCAAAGAGTAATACATAGAGAACATCTTTTAAAATATGCATACATTTTTGGTACCCCCTGTGTATATGTGTGTGAGTGTGTGTATATATATATATATATGTATATATATATATGTTTGGGGAGGTCGTTTTGGGCTTTGGTATGCCATTTATTCTTCATTAATTGATCCCTAACTTCTACCCCTATAATTATTCTTCCCATCACCTTGCTTTGTGATGTCATCTCTTAAAAAAATTAGGGGAGGTTGCCATGGTGTTGATGCTGGCATTTCTCTTTAACATTCAATAAGTACTATATATTTGCAGTGTCCCACAACTTAACTTCTGTTTTCCTGGAAATAAAAGTCTATTTTTAAATTACTATTTTTAGCCTGATTATATAGCGATGGAAATGCTTACACCGTAAGTGATTACTTGATTCTGTGATTATTTACCAAGCCCAGTTCCTTCACAAAGTTTGTCTTTTCCTCAAATTCACGTGACCTTCTTTTCACAGCCCTTTTCTACCAATTTGTCTATATTTTCTCTTTACCCTTTGTTTTCATTTTATCATCTTTAGATCTTTAATTCCAACTTCTTTATCTTTATATTCTCACTCTTCCCTCCCAAGGCTAATGCTACCACACACACACACACACACGCACACACACACGCACACACACACGCACACACACACACACACGCACACACACATACACACACACACACGCACATGCACACACACGCACATCCCTTCCACCTGTGTCCTTGGGGCTTTCTCCCAATACCAAGAAGTAGAGCTCAACTCAGGTAAAACTGTGAAGGAAGAAACGCATCGTTCTTTGCCTCTTTGCCCCTCCCTTTAGAACTGTCCTTCTCTCTCCTCTTGCCACACTATCTTCTACACGTCTCTCTTGACCCTCTAGTAGGTCATAATGGATTCCGGTGGGCCTCTGTCTTGCCCCCAAATTCTGGCCTTTCTCTGACATTACTTCTTGCAACCAAGATTTATCAGTCCTGTGTCCCAGTCTCTCTCAAGGCACACTTAAGATTGATCAAACCATGCCTTGTCCCCAAATGAACAAATGTCTTCTCCTGCCCTAGGTAAAGTATAATGACTAAGAGTTTTTAGAACTGTGGCTAGATGAGAGCCATACGGGATACCACGGTGAAAACCCTTCTCGCAGATCCGGTTTGCATCAACTTTACAAATTTCATTGCATCCAGCAGAAACTGACTAAAACGAAGCAGAACCATGAAGTTAAAACTTGATATACCCACTACTTTACAGAGAAGGAAGGAAAAGCTCCCTAACATTTGTAGGGAGGAAATTTCTCTATGAAAAGAAAAAAAAATGTATTCCCCTGAGGTTTGGGATCTTTTAAAATCATTTTTGAGGCAAAACAAAGTTGTAAAGAAAACGTTCCTCAGCGTTCAGACTATCAACATAACAGACCCCAGTTTTCAGTTCTCCGTGCTTTTAACTATTGAATTCTCATCACTTGTTATGAACTTTACCAGGCGTAAATTTCTTCCTCCCTCCTACATTCCCTTCTCCCACGTCCTTTCATCTTTGATCTGAATAAAACGTAACACTCACATTGCCCCAAATCCCTCACTATCATATGTGCAAGTGTTTGGAATGCATTTATGAAGTACTTTGAAATGAGGTTCTCCTCTCCCCCCATGAAGTAGCTGCGTGGCAGGGCTCATGCTCATTTTATAAGCAGAAAAACCGGTGCTTAGAGAAA